TAAGGCAACAGTATCTTTAAGGACAGATTTCAGAACCCATGACAAGGCAAATGATGGGCTGGGGAGTTAGCTCAGTGGCAAGAGCCCTCTCGAACCTGGAAGAGCAGGCTGTTTTACTTGCTGTCCAGGCTCTGCAGGACCAGCTGGGGCTAGCTGCTTTGAAGCTATTGGGGATACGGATTTGGAGGGAATACCTGGATCTGTCAGGATGCTGGAACAAATACATATTGGGGACAGAAGGAAAAGTGAAAAGGTTTAGGGGGAAATTTTTTTCTTAGGTGTACATTTGATCCTTTTAGGCCCATGGTCCTAGTAGTTGGGAAGAGAGTACAAAGACCAGGAGAAAATGGCGCAGGGGAGATCCCACCCCCAGGATTAACTGGGGTAAGCAGGTGGGGAAACAGGCTATTGATTGTACTCATCTGGAGCCCATTTGACCTTTGAGAGGTGGATTCAAGCCGATTTTCTGAAGCTTACAAAAATTTTTTGGGCTGGAGAGATGGCTCAGTGGTTAAGAGCACTGCCTGCTCTTCCAAAGGTCCTGAGTTCAATTCCCAGCAACCACATGGTGGCTCACAACCATCTGTAATGAGATCTGGTTCCCTCTTCTGGCCTGCAGGCATACACACAGACAGAATATTGTATACATAATAAATAAATAAATATTTTTAAAAAAGAATTTTTTAAGTTTACAAAAAGAGATAAGTCTTAGATGTGTTAGCATTACTGTAGGAGGAGGGCCCAGTTGTTCGACCCGGCCGCCTGGCTAGCTTAGCCCCAAAATAACCACACAGAAATTGTATTAATTAAATCACTGCTTGGCCCATTAGCTCTAACTTCTTATTGGCTAACGTTTACATCTTAATTTAACCCATTTCTATTGGTCTGTATATCACCACGAGGTCGTGGCCTACCAGCAAAGTCTCAGCACATCTCTGGCTACAGGTCCATGGTGTCTCCCCACTTGCTTTCTTCCTCCCAGAATTCAGTTCTGTCTTCTCCACCTACCCAAGTTCTGCCCTCTTAGGCCAAGACAGTTTCTTTATTCATTAACCAATGAAAGTAACACAAAGACAGAAGGACCTCCTACACCATATGACCCTTGTTTGTAGTCTGTACTGATATCCACATTGTAGAAAAGTCAGTAGACTCATTACTTTGTGCCATAGTAAAGGCTTGGGGACCTAAAAATGATTCTGGGTTAAAAGCATTAACAGTCTTACCTCTATCCAGTGTGGGGCCCAGAACAGCTTGGCCACACTGCTGCCATGACACTTAGTAAAAACCAGCTACAAAGCAGGTCTGAGTTTCTCAGTTTACTGGCAGGCAGCACCAACTTCCAGGAAAAGCCAGAAACTGATCCCACCCAGGGAGGGCCAGCATCTAAAGGAAAGTACTTGACGAGCCAACCATTAGATAAGGTTAGATAAGATCACCAGATGTCCCTGAGTCCAGCACACACCTATTCCACTTTTGCCCTTAGACAAAGGTCAGAGAATCAGGGTCAAGAGCCTTGAAAATCCCCTTACCCCCAACCTCTACTATTATATATATATTTATATATATCCTACCCCACTTGGGCTGGGGGCTCTCTGCTCTCAACTCCTGCATCAACTGAGATAATATTAACAGTACTTTACCAGAGCTAGAGAAATAGCTTATCAGAATCCTGTTGATTAAGGTTAAAACTGGGCAGGGCGGCGGTGGCGCACACCTTTAATCCAAGCACTTGGGAGGCAGAGGCATGCTGATTTCTGAGTTTGAGGCCAGCCTGGTCTACAAGAGCTAGTTCCAGAATAGGCTCCAAAGCCACAGAGAAACCCTGTCTCGAAAAAAATAAAACTGAACCAGGCAGTGGTGGTGCATGCCTTTAATCCCAGCACCTGAGAGGCAGAGATAGGCAGATCTCTGTGTGTTTGAGGCCAGCCTTGTCTACAGAGTGAGTTCCAAGACAACCAGGGCTACACAGTAAAACCCTGTCTTGAAAAACAAACAAACAAACAAACAAAAAACTCTGAACTTTAAGTCTTATTTTTTTGGCAGGGGTAGTTTTTTGAGACAGGGCTTTTCTGTAGCTTTGGTGCCTGTCATGGAACTCATTCTGTAGACCAGGCTGGCCTCGAACTTACAGAGATCCTCCTGTTTCTGCCTCCTGAGTGCTGGGATTAAAGGTGTGCACCACCACTGCCCAGCTTGAAGTCTTAATATAACAATAGTACAGAGAGGGAAAGAGATTTGAAACTATTTTTTATACCTTTTATACACTTTCTTATCACAACTTAAGCCTTCATATCTTCTGTCCTTCACAACTTGCATTAACACACCTTAACACACTGAAAGACCTGGATAAATCCAGACCCCTATAGCAGAAAAAATAGAGCCAAAAATCTAAGCAGGGAAAGAAGAATCAAAAATCTAGATTAGCTGGTTCAGTGACTCTATTTCAGGAACTAGCTGAAGATAAAGTTAGATTATAATCTTGGGAACAATATTGAGAAACAGGGAGTTACCCCCTTGTGATTATCACTGGTATTTTTGGAATTTTCCAATGACACCCTCCTTACCCCCTTTGGGTTATTGGGTTATGGTTTCTTCCCTTAAATACCCCTTCTCCCAGCTACTCAGGGTCGAACTCTTTACCCCTGCATGGGAAATGAGTTTTGGCCCCAGTGCACTGGTTCCTGTCCAGTCAATAAACCTTGTGCGATTGCAGCAAGAATGGTCTCTCGTGAGTTCCTGGCGGGTCGTGTTATCCCGAGACTTGAGTGAGAATCTCCCCGCTCCGGAGGTCTTTCAACACCAGTGCCATAAGAGAACTTGTTGGACCCTGGAGTCCAATTACCGAGGAGGAGTCGCCCCAAGAAAACACTCTCACACCTTAGTTGATGTAAAAGCATGAAGATTTTAATTAATTCTGTCGAGACAGAGTCAGCATTTGAGAAGCCAGAAAGATCCCAAATAGCTGGCACAGGCTACTTTTAAAATAAAAAACCATAGAAACAAGTGGGGGAGACTTTGGGGGAAAGCACTAAGGCTGAGAGGCCTTAGAGTTGTCTTAAAATTCTACAAGCTGAGAAGGATAAATTTCACCCAAGTAAGCAGGAAGTACAGACCAAGCAGCTTCCAAATCTATTAATAAATGACAGAGACTTACAGGCCACCTGGACAATCACCCTAGGTTCCTCTGTGGTTGTTAGGGGCAGAGGTCTCAGGGGTAGCATCAGTCTTTGGCCACCAAACCCAGAATATCCAGTATACTTTCCCATGGAGTAGAAACTTGGGGAACTGGCCTATTTTGTCTAGCCAAAGCGGGGCAATCAACTCCCCAGTGTCCTGCTTCTTCACAGTTTGTACAGGGTCCTTGAGGCAGACAAGGTGAAAGGCAGTTTTTCACTCAGTGGTTGGCTTTGCCATATTTAAAGCAAGATCCAGGTGAAGTTCCTCTATGCCCATCATCTTCTTTGGAGGAGAACTTAGGGTGCTGCCAGGGTCTGTCCTATCATGAAAGACTTTTTTATTAAATATTTTAAATGCCGTATTCAGCAGATCTTTGAAGAGTTTGAAGACCATTATCTATTAAGTATATCTAAACTAGACAAAATTTGCTTATTTCTAATTACTTGCTTTAGGCTTAACTTTGAAAACACATACAGGAAGCTAAATAAATCTTATTCCTGTTGTCAATTCATTAGTACTTAGCATGACTATCAGTACAGTTCTTTATGTATTAAAGAATCTGACTGTACCTAAGGTGACTGACCATTAGTCTTAATTATCCTTAACAGTTTACAATAGGCTAGAAGCTTTTATAAGACTTGGACTTTATATTCCATCTCTATTAGGTTTAGCCTTAAAAAATAACAATTTTTGAATTTAAGCCCTTCTAATATCAAAATAAAACTTTTAATCATAGAGTCAGACCATAGGGAGGCTGGCAGCTTTACTGATGCTTTTATAGTGCACTTTATAAAATGTGGCAAATTTTTGCATGACTTACTTTATCCCAAAGACAAATATTATTGTGAATCTGAATAGACCTTAGGAATTTATAAATCTTTTTTTTTTTTTAATTTTTCGAGACAGGGTTTCTCTGTAGCTTTGAACCCTGTCCTGGAACTAGCTCTTGCAGAACAGACTGACCTCAAACTCACAGAGCTACACCTGCCTCTGCCTCCTGAGTGCTAGGATTAAAGGTGTGAACCACCACAACCTGGTTTAGATAGATAAATATCTTAAATCAGTTTTTGTTAATCTGGATCTTAAAATTTTATCATCACATACAGTATATTGTAAACCAGAGTTGAATCACATAAATATTATGTTGTAACAAATATAACTTAAATTTTTATCATCATACAAAAGTTCATACCAGGGCTGGAGTGATGGCTCAGCAGTTAAGAGCACTGACTGCTCTTCCAGAGGTCCTGAGTTCAATTCCTAGGAACCACATGGTGCCTCATGACCACCTGTAATGAGATCTGGTGCCCTCTTCTGGCCTTCAGGGAAACATGGAGGCAGAATGCTGTATATGTAATTAATAAATAAATCTTAAAAAAAAAAAGTGCATGCCAATCTAAAGTATTTGAGACTTCTTGTTGCTTCATTTTCTGAAAGGAGATAGAATGGTAAACAGAGCTCATAAGGTCTAGGAAGTCTTACAGTTGTTGCTTTATGCCATGTGGTTATCTTAATGGTTGAGTCGCATGACATGTATTCTATGCTTAATAAAGATGTTTGCCAGCCATGTGGCTGGATACATCCTGGTAAGGTCATCAAGCAAGATGGAGGTGAGCCATATGGTTGCAATTTAAAACATCCATTTTCCTAGTTTACGTATGTATGTATATATATATGTATATATAATGTTTATATGTATATATGAGAATTTAATTCAAGTTATATAACATGCACACAGAGTTGCATCCAGATTATACACATACAAACACACACTCATCCTACAGAAAAATTGAATCGCATATACATATCCATGTATAGTTTTTTTTTTAATTTTCCATGTATAGATTTTTTTAATAAGTCTCTTGTTATAAGTTTAAAGCCAAATTTCTGGGATCGAGTTTACAGCATAGTCTTAAGAGATTTTTCTGAGAGCAGAGTACAGAGACGTCATAGCGATGAGAGATTTCCGAGAGTGGAAGCAGAGAAGCATAGAGTGGAGCGAGTTAAAGGTATCAGGTATCTGGGGATCATTTGTCTGTACAGTAGCAGCGCTTATGACTTGTGAGAATTTGGAAAGCAAGGTTGCCAGTGTTTTGGCTATTGATCTGTCCTGAGGCCAGGCTGTTTTAATAAAATCTGAGTATGTGGAGGAAGAGAGAGAGAGAGAGAGAGAGAGAGAGAGAGAGAGAGAGACTGAAGCAGAGCCCCCTATAAACTCCAAGAGGGAGCTGAGAACTGAAGCTGAGGGATTGCAGGCTGGAGCCAGAGACAGCTAGGAGAGCGCAGGGGAACGGAGCAGTGAGTGTCTTCAGCAGAGAGACCCATAGGCATGTAAAAGGCCAGAGCCAAGAAAGAAGTTGCCCATGAGTTGGGATCCCTAAAGGTGGCTCCAGGAGTCAGAGAGACCCTTATGGCATAGGACAAGGAGAAACAGCCAGGAACTGAGTGATAAGCACATAGGTGCCCACATGGAGGGCATGGCAGGCCAGAGGGAAGAAGCAGCTGAAGAATCAGACTCTAGAGTTTGGAATCAAATTCACAAACAAACAATTCACATACTTAGGAGACTTGGAGTGGATGCTGCAGGGGAGATCAGGTGTGTACTGACCGTGAGGGAGAGCAGAAAAAAACAAACAGGGCTTGGAGGGAAGGAATGGGAAATCCTTTTCCATGCGCTCCCCTCCCCCGCCCGGCATCACTTTGGTCAGCTGCATTTGGAGCCAGATTTGGCTGCAAAGGTGGATAAGTTTAGAGGCTTTTAAGTTGGGCGCTAGGTGAAGGGGTCAGAGGTTTCAAGATGTATCCCAAAGGGGAGCCAGGAGGTATGGACGATGCAGTTTCCGTAGGTGATGTAGATGGGGGGATCCAAGCCTGAAGTCCTAGGCATCGCTGGAACCCTGGGGGACTAAACAAGGAAGACACAAGCTGAAGAGTGGGCTGTCAACTAACTGGACGGGGTCAGAGCTAAATGCCCAAGGAGACTCCAAGAGGCCAGACCAAGCTCAACAATGAAGCCTCACCCAAGTGAAAAGGTAAGAGGTGGGGTTGTCAAAGAGGGTCAACCATAGCCTTAAAGAGCGTGTTTGGGGATACTGTTAACCCCACTGATTGTAAATAAGATCACTACCAGGGTTTAAAGTCAAATTTTAAACAAGCTTTAATTAAATACTGACCGGATGGATGGGCTCTGGCCAGCTCCATACACAGGTTCCTGGTAATTGTCCGCGAGACACGGCTGGCAGTCACTTAAGAAGGGAAACCCATAATTCATTGCATTTTCCATCAGGTCCAATCAAGGGCAAGCAGAGATCCTTATGAACCTCCAGCCTACATCCAATCAGGGACAACTGTACATACTGATATATTTCCTACCTGTGAATCTCCTGCCAACATGTGATCAAGCATATCCAATGTAGATGGGTCAAACACACTCTTTAGGGGAGTGAAAAACATGTGGCTTGTTATGTCCCACAAGCAATAGCCCCAGCATTTCAGTAACTCTCTGTCCTTGGGCAAGGGGCTTGCAGATCAGAGGCATTTTTGTTTCGTGGATCCTCTTAGGCATAGTAATTTTGCCTCCAAGAATACCAGAGGGTACTGGATGCTCAAAAATCACTTCCTCAGATTCAGGGAAGCATTTACATTGACCAAAGGGAAAACTTCCCAATTGGCACTGTTGAATGGGATGCCCGTCCATCTGTGGACTGGAGACAGGGTATAGGGTCTCAGTGTAGCTTAGACCCTCAAGTAGGGAGCATGCAGGCACCAGGACATCCTCCTGAGACACAGGACACCAATATTACAGTCAAGGGCAAAATACCTTGGCAGCTTGGGGCCAAGCTGTGCTGCAAAGATCACATCACGGCAGCTGATCTCACTTGAGATATTTATTGAAGGGGGCAGGGAAAGCAAAAGAACATCTCTCAGAATGGGGACAAGAGAGAGAGAGACAGTGAGAGCAGTCTACGATGGCAGGAACCTTTTAAGGATATGAGTATCAATCACATTTGGTGGCTTGTGGTCACAAGGATGCTGGTGCTGAGTCATTGAGGACAGGCTGCAAAAGCGCCTGGTTTCCAACAACCATATAATCCTGAGCCTCAGGCCTCCTCCCGCCTCTTCCTTCTCCTTCTCCTTCTCAACTCCTCCTCCCTCCCCTTCTCCTTCTCTATCTCCTCATCCACTTCTTTTCTTCCTAGCCCTGTCTCTTTCTAAGTACTGGGATTACAGGCTTGCATCACCATGCTTAACTCCCAGGTTTTTTTTTTTTGGGGGGGGGATAGTTTATTTTTTAGATTTGTTTATTTTTGTGTACGAGTATGTGTTCTGCCTGCATGTATATATGTGCACTGTGTGCATGCCTGGTGTCCACAGAGGTCAAAAGAAGGCATCGATCCCTTAGAATGGGAGTTGAACAGGCATGAGACACCACGTGAATGCTGGGAACTGAATCTGAGTCTTCTTCAAGGACAACATGTATTCTTAACTGCTACAATCTTTGTGCACTGTAAATACATATTACTTCATTGGTTAATGAAAGAGCTGACCAGCCAATAGCTGGGCAGCTAGAGGTCAGGCGGGACTGGAAGACAAGGAGAGCATGTGGAAGAAGAAGGGAGGGGTTTCAGGAGTCACCAGGAGATATGGAGAGAAGATGAACATGCCATGTTGGAAAAAAGGCATCATCACATCATCACTTCAGAACATAGATAAGAAATATGGGTTATTTAAGTTATAAGATGGTGTGTGATAGCCAGGCGCTGGTGGTGCACGCCTTTAGTCCCAGCACTCACAAGGCAAAGGCAGGTGGATCTCTGTGAGTTCGAGGCCTGTCTGGTCTATGAGAGTTAGTTCCAGGACAGGGTCCAAAGCTACAGAGAAACCTTGTCTCGAAAACAAACAAATAAACAAACAAACAAAAAACCAAAAAAATGGTGTGTGATATTTTGATTGCATTCTGACAATAAAGTTTGCTTTAAATGAGAGGGTGGAGCTAGCCAGTAGCCAACAAAATTAACCATAAAGGTTTTAGAGGAATGAGGACAGATAGACAGGAAGTAGTAAGGCAGGGTATGGAGAGGATCTTGGTCCTTTTGGATAGAGGAACGGAAGAGATAGGTCATTGGTAGCTTCTCTGTCACTTCTCTGATCATTCAGGTTCTTACCCCAATATCTGACCCCCAATTTTTTATTGATAAAGAATAATTAGATAAACGCTTCATCTGGCACCCAATGTGGGGTACCATTTGTGGGCAGACATTTTCATTAGAACCACAGTCAGCTCTGTTCTACCATGCACTTTCCAAATAACCACCCAGAGACTTAATATTAGTTATAAATGCTCAGCCAATAGCTCTGTAGCTTTGGAGCCTGTCCTGGAACTAGCTCTGTAGACCAGGCTGACCTCGAACTCACAGAGATCCACCTTCCTCTGCCTTCCTGCATGCTGGGATTAAAAGTGTGCACCACTGACCATGCCATGCCATTGACACTCTTGTGGGAGTCAAAGAACAACTTGAGAGAGTGAGTTCTCTCCATCCACCAGTTCATCCTGGTGTACGGATGAACACCAGGGATTGATGGCAAGCACTTTTATCTGCTGAGCTGCCTCACGTCTGTCCAGCCCATGTCCTAATTCTTCTCTGTAACCTGTACAACATCCAATTCAATGTCAAGGATTGATTGACTCAGTAAAAACATTCAGATGGCCTGAATCCCTCCCCACAAGGCTGAAGCATTGAGCCAATTATCCTCACTCATTATGGAAACAAGATAAAAACAGAATGTCCTTAAAAACACATTTAAAAACTCCCTGCATTTCAGAGTGCTTCTAATGTAAGCTTCCTATTTTGGACTTTAAACCTAACCCGCTATATTTTTTTTTTCCAGCGAGTTTGCCAGGGTGATCACAAAAGAGGGAGAAAAGAAGGGGAAATTTCTCTGGACTCTGGAAAGCACTCCGGATCCCATTCTTCAGGGTCACAGTCTGCAGGGGAGGACACGGAGGTGGGGCCCCTTGAAATTTGAACTCCCTCAGGACCAGAGCCTCTGCAGAAACTTCTCTTTGTGTATGACCTGACCCAGAAACTCTGGGGGAGTTTGAGTGAGATCGGGATGTTCTGGGGCAGCTGCCTCTGAGAGTCTGTCAGGAAAGCACCCATGAGCCTGGGGACCACAGGAGGGGGATTATTTGCTGTGTTTTTTCAATATTGGGGAACAATTCTAGAGCCCAAATAGCATTTCTCAAATTTATTATTATTGGCCTAGTGCTAACTGCAGCAGAAGAGAGAGAGAGAGAGAGAGAGAGAGAGAGAGAGAGAGACTCATTCTCCTGCTCCCTGCAGTCAGCTGAGGCTTTACATATCACAGAGCTGAATCCTAAAATAAGAAGAGAGAACAACATTTCCATTCTCAGATGCTGAGGCAGCCATTTCCGCATGGAGAATACAGTGCACTGCTTTCTTGTTTTCTTGACTGACGTTGTTGGTCTTATTTATCTTGTTTTCTTTCCTTTTCCGTGTTGAAGCAGGACCTCAGTCATCTAGACCGATCTTTCTCACTATATGGTCGCGGATAAATGTGCGTGTGACCATGAGCACCCCAAAGCAGCTGCGTGGAAGTCACAGGACAACCTATGAGAGTTGCTGTCCCCCCCCCACCACCACCACCCTGGGTCCTCAGGGTCAAACTCAGGCTGTGAAGCATGGCAGCACATGCCCTTACCACTGAGCCATCTTTTCTGGTCATGATCTTGAACCCAAATGGGATTAAAGGCGTGGGCCATCATGAGGTGCTGAGGATGGAAGCCAGGCTTTGTGCATGCTAGACAAGCATGCTAACCACCTCCTCAGTCCCTTTTCTTCCTCCTTTTTTCCTTTTTTTTTTTTGAGACAGAGTCTCACATATTGCAGCCTGGTCTCAAAATCGATATGTAGCTGAGTATTGTTTGTTTGTTCATATTTTACTCTGAGGGCCTGCCACCCAGCTCCCAAATAAATTCATGGAGACTTATTCTTATGAATACCTGGCCTTAGCTTGGCTTGTTTATAGCCAGGTTTTCTTAACTTAAATTATGCCATCAACCTTTTGCCTCCGGGCTTTTATCTTTCTCTATTCTATACACCTTTCTTTCCTTCTTACTCCATGACTCATGGTGTGGCTGGGTGACTGGTCCCTTTTCTCACTCTGCCCTCTTCTATTTATACTCTCTGCCTGCCAGCCCCACCTATCTTTTCTCCTGCCTTGCTATTGGCCGTTCAGCTTTTTATTAGACCAATCAGGTGTTTTAGACAGGCACACTAACATAGCTTTCCAGAGTTAAACAAATGTAACGTAAACGAATGTAATACATATTAAACTGATATTCCCCAACAGCTGACGATGGCTCATCTTCCTGCCTCTGTGTCCCACGACTGGGATCATAGGTTTGCATCACCACTCCAGGTTTTATTTTGCTTTCTGGGACAGGGTCTGACTATGGATCCCAGGTTGAACTTGGTCTCACCACCTTCCTACCTTTGATGCTAGTGTTAGGGTCACAGGTGTACAACATCAGACCCAGCCCAGGATTCTTACAGACTTCAACTTGAAAGGGAAGAAGGAAGGGGACGTTCTGAGTTACGCCTGAGGCTGAGGTAGAAAATTTCCTAAACCTCGGATACATAGTGAGTTCCAGGTCAGCCTGGGTTACAATGGGACTCAGTCACAAAACAAAACAAAACAAAACAAAACAAAACAAAAACAAAACAAAACCCAAGAAATAAAAAGCAGGGTGTGGCAGCCTACACTGATAGTCCCTCCAGGTGTGAGGTGAAGGCTAGAGGATCAAGAGTTAAAGGTCCTCCTTAGCTACATCCAGAGTTCAAGACCAACCAGGGTCACACGAGATCCTGTCTCAAAAGACAATAAACAAAATGAATCAAAATTGTTGAGAGGCTGGAATGTTGCAAGTCCAGAGCCAAATTATCTTGGGATATCTTTAGCGCTCATAACAGGCATTTATTGTCCTCATTTACACTTGACCTCACAACTTTGCAACCATGAGGTAAACCCTTTGGAATGTACAAACAGAGCTCTACTTTCCAGCCAATAGAAAGCTAAGAGTGTCACTGGATAGCTTTGGAGTTCCCTAGCAGAAGTTTCCCACCTTTGTGGAAACCTGCCTAATGTTTCCCCTGATGTTTCTGAAAAGAACCCCGATTACTGTTAAAAAAAAAAAATGGCAGGAAACTGCTTTGTAGACCAAAGTTTCTTTCTTGCCTGCTCCTGCAGTTGTTCAGTCCCAAGGAAACACACAGAGGCTTATACTAATTATAAGCTGTTTGACCTTTTAGCTCAGGCTTATTACTAACTAGCTTTACAACTTAAATTAACCCATAATTTTTTTCTACGTTTTTATCTATGTTTAGCCATGTGGCTTGGTAAGCTTTCTCAGTATGGCATTCTCATCTTGCTTCCTCTGTGTCTGGCTGGTGACTGACTCTCTGCCTTTTCTCTTCCCAGAATTCTCTTAGTCTGGTTGCTCCACCTATACTTCCTGTCTGGTTTCTGGCCAATCAGCATTTTATTAATCTGAGTGACAAATCTTTACAGTGTATAAGAGCATTGTTCCTCAGCACTGCTTCTATGTTGTAAGATGGAATTCAGGGCTACCCCAGACATGATCACTCACCTTTGGTTCCAGAATAAACTCTGTTTTATCCCTTTTGAGGTGAACAGTGTGGTTTTGGATCCGGGTATGCAGTTCTCTGGAGGAGGTTGTATGCGGCCCTGAGAGTGCCCTTGCTCAGGACTGTCCTCCTGTGACCTGCCTGGCAGGGATGACGACACTCTGAAGAGAACATCGGCTATCGTGTTTGTCAAGGCTGTGACCCTGTCAGACACTCTCAGTTCCTTTGTTTAGTTTATGATTGAAAAATGTTTGTAACTACCTTTTCTTTGGTATAGGGGAGGGCACATGTGTGGAGGTCAGAGGCCGACTCCTGGGAGTCAGCTCACTTTACAGCACGCAGGTCACAGGCGGGTTGGTGGGCTTGGCCGCAAGTGTTCTCACCAGCTGAGACATCTCACCAGCCCTGGGTTCTGATTCTTTCTCAGACTGTAACACGAGCCTGAGAACCCCAAGGGGGATGGGGATGCTTTCATTTGCTCTTTCATATCTGAGACCTCCCCAGACTTGAATACCACCAATAAAATCCCATTTAAAAAAAAAAGCCTGAAGTGGGGAGGTGGTGGCACACACCTTTCATCCCAGCACCGAGGTGGCAGAGGCAAGCGAATCTCTGCGTTTAAGGCCGCCTGGCCTTAAAACTGGTCTACAAAGTGAGTTCCAGGGCAGCCAAGGCTACATAAAGAAACCCTCTCTCAAAATCGCCCCCTCCCCCCTCCCAAAGCCTGATGTGGTACTCATACCTCTAGGGAACTGAGACAGGATGAGTCCTGCAGATTTGAGACCAGTTAAGCTACATAATAAGATTGTACTTCATGTAGCTCAGACTCTGGAGGGACACTCGCCGAGATTTTCAGATCCATGTGTCATGGCTGAGGACAGAAATGGAGACAGTAGGCAGGCTTAATAATTCCAGCACTTGGGAGGCAGAGGCAGACAGATCTCTCTGAGTTCGAGGTCAGCTTGGCCGATAGAGTGAGTTCCAGCTAGGGCTACCCAGAGAATCCCCGTCTTGAGAGAGAGAGAGAGAGAGAGAGAGAGAGAGAGAGAGAGAGAGAATACTTTAGTCCAGTGTCTTTGGTCTCAGCACTCATTATTATCATCCAATTAGTATATTTGTTTTTTGGGTGGTGCTGGGTTTGAACATAGAGCCTTGTGCACGTTAGGCCAGCAATATACCACTGAGCTGTATACCCCCAGCTTAGAACAGGACTTTTGGGGGCTGGGGAGATGACTCAGAGGTTAGCAGCACTGCCTGCTCTTCCAGAGGACCTGACAGTTCAATTCCCAGCACCCTCACGGTGCTGGCTCACAACCCTCTGTAATGAGATTTAATGTCCTCTTTTGACCTGTAGGCAGAACACTGTACACACAATAAATGAATTTATATATACATATATAGAAAGAACTGTACATTTGTGGTACACAAAAGATGGGGTGCTCACGGATGTCATATGACACCACAACAAAACAAAGACAGCAAAGGAGACAGGGCAAAGAGAAGACTGACAAGTCCAAGCATGATGCACTGGTATCCGCAGACCACAGCTGGGCCCTGAAGCAGGAGAGTCATGAGTGTGGGCCACATGGGGAGACCCTCCCCCAAGGAGGGGAGTCAGTTCACATCCTCAGAGTTGAGGTGTGGCCTCCCTCGTTGCCTGCTGTTCCCAACAATGGAAGCCGCACTGTAAGCCACCTAGGTCAAGCTGTTTTAATCATCTACAAAAACAATAGAAATCTGTTTTATTTGTTTTTTTTCTGTAGCAAAATATGGGCTCTTTGTCCATAGGATCTTGACTTGCCAAGTCTCTTCCTGAACCAAAGTCATAAGCCAGACAACAAACATTGGCCTGCCTTAGTCCATGGAAAATTCCAGATGTTTGTAGCTTATCAACTGACAAGTTGGCAGCCAGGGAAGATGTTGATTTCAGTGAATCAGGAGGCCTTATTAGCTCCATGTTCTGTGGAACAAAGAGTTGTCCCATGGGGCGTGTTGTATAAGAGGCCATATATAGCACGGGACCTTAAAAACACCTTTAAAAACCATTTCCGTCCTTCAGCAGCTCTTCTTCCAGACCCGAAGTCTTCACTAACAAGGGCACTGCCGCTAGGGCTGGGACTTGGTGGACCCTGATGGTGGGGACTTAGATGCACACATAACTGCTTTTTATTTATTTTTTGATTTTTTTCAGATAGGGTTTCTCTGGGTAACCCCGAATGTCCTGGAACACACTCTGTAGACCAGGCTGGCTTCAAACTCACAGAAATCTGCTTGCCTCTGCCTCTGGAGTGCTGGGATTAAAGGCAGATGCCACCACTGCCTGGTAACATATGTAATTTATTTTTTAAAATTTATTATTTATATAGTGTTCGGCCTGCATGTATGCCTGCACACCAGATCTTATTATAGATTCTTGTGAACCAACCATGTGGTTGCTCGGAATTGAACTCAGGACCTCTGGAAGAGCAGCCAGTGCTCTTAACCTCTGAGTCATCTCTTCAGTCCTACACATAATTTCTTTATCCTTGTTTTTTCTGTGGGTATGTGTGCACACCTGTTCATGTGGGTGCACATGTTTGTGTCTAGACGCTTTCAACAGCTAGAGGTAGACACTGAGCATCTTCTCCAGTCATTCTCCACATTACTCTTTTGAGACAGGGTCTCTTATGGAACCCAGAGCTCCCTGATTGGCTAGGCTGACTGGCCAATGAGAACCAGGAATCCGTCTGTCTCTCCTAGATTCTAGCCCTGGGATTCCATATGTCAATTCTTGGGGTCTGAATGTAGGTCCTCTTGCTTATGTCTGAAGCCTTTAATGGTCCTTCCTCCTGGTCTCTGGATACACAGTTTCTAGAAGGTGTTTTGTAATAAGGTATCAGAAATCTTACTGCTTTCTTTACTTTTCTGTGGCTGAGATCAAGAGCTAAAGAGCGGCCCTCAAGGCAGAAACCTGGAGGCAGGAACCGAAGCCAAAGGCCAAAGAGGAACGCTGTTTTCTGGTCTACTCCTCATAGCTTGCTCAGCTTGTTCTGCTATTCAACGGAGAACCACTTGCCCAGGGTGGTACTGCCCGCAGGGGGCTGGGCCTTCCCATTCAATCGCTGATCAAGAAAAGGCCCAAGAGACTTGCTTAGAGACCAGTCTGTGGAAGCATTTTCTCGGTGGCGCTTCCCCCTTCCCAGGTGACCCTGGCTTGCATCAGGTTGACGAAAAAGCAGCTAGCACTTATCCTAAATATTTGCTTCATGACCTAGTATTTTCTTGGCTGAGAATTTAAGGAAAATTTATTTGAGGACGTGAAAACTTCTGAGGAAAGCCAGGTCAGCATATGAGAGCAGAAAGCTGTAAACAGTGGCTGACTGTAAAATTAGTGACATAGTCATAGTATAAAATACTATTAGTAAGCATGCAAGTGTGTTTGATTATACACGGAACCATGTTCACAATATAGTGATGTCTTAAAAAAGCATAAATAAACTAGGCCCGGCATGAAGGTGTTCACCTGTAAACCTGGCCCTCAGGAAGAGCAAGCAGCAAGACCATTCAAGGTCTTCCTCAGCTGCAAAGCAAGTTTGGGGTCAGCCTGGGGTACAGGGGGTCCGGTTCAAACAACCTACTTACACAACAAACCTAAGCTGGGTGTTAAGGGCCTTCTCCTGTGTTGTTGAGAGCTCCATGGGGAACAGGGACTCCATAGACACAGCTCCATGACAAGGGACTGCCCGAGAATCACTCAGAGCAGTGACTGAACTCAGCTGGACTGAAACACTCATGGCCCCCATCCCCCAAGGCCCTGAATGTGGGGTGGCATGCTGCAGCTCAGGCAGCGGAGTTAAGGTCTTCAAGGGTGAATGCCTCCCTGAGCAACGTGAGATCTGTGGGAGTTTCCCACGGACTTCCTGTGCTCTGCTTGGTAATTAGAGTCAGATGACTGTCGGGGCTGACAATAGACTTGCGAGTTCTCCGGAATGTGCGAGCTTGTGTAACCTGTCCCAGATGCTTCCCCAGGAAACAAATGCACGGGCTGCAGAAGGAGGTGTGGGTTTTCATACCAGCTAGTTAGCAGGAGAGCCCTGAATCTCGGAGACCCACAGGCGTGGCGCTTCCCTGTACCGTTTTGGCAGGTATGGATTTCCTGAGAAATTGAATCAAGCCATCAGCTGGCAGGCCTGCTCATTCAAATTGACCGCGATCTTATGAACAAGCTTAAAGAAGAAAGAACAAGCCTTAAGCGACCAATCGACAAGCCAGTTAGTAGACTAGAGAGTTACAAAGGTGTGGCCCATGGGGTCAATCCCCCTGGCCCTCCTGAGTGTAAATAAAGGACACCTCAGCTGCCACTTGGTTGGTCTGTCCTCTTTTAGAAACACTTGGCTTTCTACTTCCATTTAGATTAGGTAGGAAGTATTTACAAAACCGTGTGTGTATGTGCGTGTGTGTGGTGTGGCTGTGGGAGCAGAGGTTGATATTCCTTGATGGCATATTATATTATTTGCTTACATTATTTATTTCTTCATTTATTGTGAGTGCAAGTGAATGCCAGGTACAGTGGGGCTATATAGAGACAGTTTGTGGGAGTCTGGTCTCTCCTGCCATGTGGCTCCCAGAACTCAGGTCATCAGACTTGGCAGGAGGGGCCTTTACCTCAGGAGTGAGTCCCACTTTTTTTTTTTTTTTAATTGACTTGGGCTCTCACTAAGCCTGGCTGCCCCAGAACTCAGAGATCCACCTGCCTCTGTCTCCCAATGCTGGGGTACAAGGTGTTGCCGCCATGTCGGAGTCCTGCGTTTTATTTTTTTGAGATGGATTCTCTAACTGAATTTGGGACTCACTGGCTAGACTGCAGTCACATGAGTTTCCAGAAGCATTTCTTTTCCTCCCACGGCAGTTACGAACTCAGCTCCTCATACTTCACAGCCAATGCTTTACCACGGAGTCCAGAACCACCCCCTACACACTTTTACTGATTTATAATGAAAAGGTTCTGCTGTGGAAAACCTTCAGGCTAAACCTCCTTATAGTGACAGCTTAACTTGGAATTCCCCAGCAATGAGCAGGTTGTTTGTCTGTAGTTGGCACTGCCTGTTTTTTGACACGGAGAAAAACACGACGAATGTCTCCAAACCTCAACTCCTCTCTCTGATCAATAGGAAAGGGTTTTGACCTCCTTTTGGATAGATGAGGCTTCATTTAATTTTGTGACCCTAGGGTGTGGCAGAGAGCTCAGCTATATACATTTTGGCTAAATATTTTAAATCAAGCACATTGCCTTTAGTCGTAGTACTGGGGCGAAGAAGCAGGCAGATCTCAATGAGTTCAGGACCAGCCAAGGCTACATAGCTAAGAAAGACCCTGTTTTAAAAACAAACAAAAACACTGCTGCCTTCGTTAGCTATTTGCCCTCTTTTTGTTTGTTTTTTAGAGACAGGGTTTCTCTGTAGCTTTTAGAGCCTGGCCTGGAACTAGCTCTCGTAGACTAGGCTGGCCTTGAACTCACAGGGATCCACCCGCCTGCCTCTGCCTACTATGAGTGCTGGGATTAAGGGCGTGTGCCACCAACTGCCTGGCACCAGCATTTTTTGATGTTTTTGTTTTGTTTTGTTTTTAAAGACAGGGTTTCTGTGTAGTCCTGGTCGTCCTCAAACTCAAGAGACCCACCTGCCTTTGCTGGGACCAAAAGCATGTGCCATCAGGCCTGGTTAACATTTTTCTGTTTTAACTCAGAAGTAGTGACTCTATTGTGTTTGTGGAACTGATTTTTAAAGATTAGTATGGAGATCAAAGAGACGGCTCAGTTTAGAGCTGAGGATGAGGACCAGCACCGCACACGGCAGAGTGTGGTCATCTCTAAAGCCTTTCCGAGCATCGGACGCCCTCTTCTGACATCCCAGGGCACTGCAATCATGCAATGCACAGACAGAACACACACACACAAATACACAAATAGGACTCAGGATGGGAGGGGATCAGGCAGGCAAGGAGGGGATCAGCTGTCCTAAGAGGCACTATTTTTTACACATGGTCCCCAGTTCAGAGCTCTCGTGGCTGTTGGCAGCTACTAATGAATGAGCTAGAGATGGCAAAAGCCAGACCATTGCTCTCCCAAGGGCAGACTGACTCTGACCTTGTGGAGAGTGCGGATTTTGTCAATTGGCAAGACGCAGGCTTCATGCTACCCAACCTCCTGGCAAGGTTAGCAACAGTATGTGTGTCCTCTAGGTTGATCACCTTAGGCACACTCCCTGAGCCTAGGCTCTGGGGTCTTACTGCTGCATGTTTTGGAAATGTAGACCAATGAGATTTTCTGAATCCCAGTTACTTCCCCAATACAATGGGAATCAAAATACCACCTTGCCCTTAAAATTGCTGTAAAGATAATAATAAACAAAATGCAGCATACGAAGCAGTCATGATGTACGCGTACAGGCCTGCAAAATTCTGGGGGACAACTGCGTTATAATTTGGAGCCAATGAAATGTTTTTGTTTCGTTGAGACAGAGTTTTGCTATGTAGTTCAGTCTGACTTCGAAATTGAGAAACTGGGATTACAGGAATGAGCTAAAACACACAGCACAAACCTGATTGATTCTGGATCATTTACGCCCGCCCTTTCCGTTCCCTGCCAATTATTTATAGAATTTAGTGTTCACTTTTAAAACCCTTGATTTTGGGATACATACTATTTTTCTTTTTCAAAAAACAAAAACCAATAACCAAAAGATGTATGTAATTCTTCCCCGAACCTTGATGTAATTTTCAAGCAATATCTTTTTTCTCTCCCATTTTTCCCACTTACTAAACAAGGCCAAAACCTGATGGTGACTGTCTGAGGTCTAGAGAAAAACTAAAGTTACATCAGAGGGGCCTCGCAAAGGTGAAGTGAAACGGTCGTGTGCACAATGTTTGCCGGGCTCTAGGTGGGGAGAAAAGACACAGCAGCTTCGGGGATCGCAGTGACGGCAAGGCAGAGAACCAGAAACAAAGCCAGGGCAGCTGGGCAGGGCCTGGTCACCGAAGCAGGCGAGCAGCTCGGCCGCCCGGAGAGCAACTGGCCCGCCGCCAGCCCGCGGGAGAGTCCTGCAGGGCAGCTCGGCCGCCAGGCAGTTACTTATTCCCGACATGCTCCTCCCGCAGGATTTCAAACCACCACAACAGCCTCCCCGCACTCGCTCCGGCCTGCCCCAGCAACAGGCGGTGGCCGGCGTCTCATTGGCCGTGACGCAGCTGCCGCGCCCTCATTGGCTGCGGGGTCGCCGGCCCTCTTCCGCGCTCGCAGGGGCCTCCATTTTGTTGGTAAAGCAGGAGGCTGGTCGAAGACGAACTGTGCTCTGTGAGTTGCTCGTGGACAGTGTTTGATCCGTGAATCGTTTCTCCCTGTTAAGGGAGGGAGGTTTGGAGGTCGAGAGGGAGTCGCCGCCACCGCCCGAACTCGAAGTCGGTGAGTGTGGCGGGGACCGCCATGTTGGCCACCACGGGCCATTGTTGGCCTGAGCAGCGCGTCTCCCCCAGGAACTGAACCGAGGGCGTAGGCGGGCACCGTGCAGGCTGGCATTTCGGGTGGCTGCGAGTGCGGACATTGTGACAAAAAAATTGGAGGTTCTCTCAGTCTTGCTAGTTTGACTGAACAGCGAGAAACCTCGATGATCGTTCACTTTTGGGCGGCGTGCGTGGTTAATGATACGGTTTCGTACGGAACCGGGAGTGTGGACTCTTAACCCAAAGCACCATGCACGTTGTTGGTAACAGAAATTAAATGTGGTCTGTGTGGTTGAGAGCAGAAAATCCGGATAGAATTTGAAAAACATGGTCCCTAGTTTCATAGGAACTATGCTGTGCGGTCACAGAAGCAAACGCTTCCTTAGTTTGTCTTTAAAACGTGCGGGCAGGTAGGCCTTACAAGACATCGCCTAGAATTGGTTGACATTTATGAGATCAAGGAAAGTCTTAGTCTCATACATCTATCTTATGTTCTAGAAGCCTTGAGGAAGTAAACAGCCATCTTATGTGTTTAAGCGATCACTTTTTTGGGTTTTCAAGTAATTATCTTTCATTTTCTAGCTAGGACTTCTCTCAAACTTGTGTGCTGAGGAGACTCGATGGTGGCCTCAGCTCCTAGGCTGAAATCAGCAGATTGGCTCATGAAAACTTATGTATTGAGACAAAGGAAAGGATCTAGCAGAAAGCAACATCTCTTATCCTGGGCTTGGCAGCAAGGAAGAGGACAAGTAGTGGAGATCCTGCAATCTGAGAAACAGACTGAAAGGTATCAAGATTCACATCTCCTCCTTAGTATAGTGGTAAAAGAAAAAAAGTAAAAAAAAAAAATCCACATCATAGTGAGGTTAATATTTATGATGTAAGTAATTTTAAACTATTAAGGACTGTATATCACAGCACTCAATAGTTCGCGGCAAAACTGATTGGAGGTCATTCTGGTACAGGATACCCTGTCCAAAAGAGGTTGGTGAATTTACGTGTGGGCCTTTTTCTAATTTTCTTTTATTTAGCTTTCACAAACAACTGGTATTTGGCTGAGGACTAGCTTTAATATTTTTGAGGTAAATGGTCTGGTGGGGCAAGCCTGTCTAATATCTTTACCAACATTTCTAGAATAGAAATAAAAATATAATTTCCAGACTTTGGAAACTTCAAAAAATGTGGAAATTTACTCATGTTTACATTTATTTACTTCCAGGTGACAAAGAAGCTCAAGATGGGTGGTGGAGAGAGGTATAACGTTCCAGCCCCTCAATCTAGAAATGTTAGTAAGAGCCAACAACAACACAACAGACAGAAGACCAAGGATCAGAATTCCCAGATGAAGATCGTTCATAAGAAAAAAGAAAGAGGACATGGGTACAGTCCATCAGCAGCTGCATGGCAGGCCATGCAGAATGGGGGAAAGAACAAGAGTCTTTCTAATGACCCAAATTGGAATGGTAGCCTAACAAGTCCAAGCTTGCTTTTTAAGTCTCAGGCCAACCAGAACTATGCTGGAGCCAAATTTAGTGAACCACCCTCACCAAGTGTTCTCCCCAAGCCACCAAGCCACTGGGTTCCTGTTTCATTGAACCCTTCAGATAAGGAAATAATGACATTTCAACTTAAAACCCTACTTAAAGTACAGGTTTAAATCTAAGTATTAATTTTAAATTTTGTGATGTTCATATGTAGCCATCAGTTGGTTGGACTTTAGATAATTTTTATAAAACTAATTTACAACTATAAGCAGACATCTGATTTATGTCCTATGTACACTATATTATAATAGTGTCATGATAATTTAAGTAGCTAATCCTACTTGGTAGTTTTGCTAACCAAATTCAAGCTTAGATATGGAGAACAGTAACCAGCTTTTTATTGTCTAGTAGGAAAACAAAAGGAAATTAGTAAGCATCTAGCTAAGATATAAAGGCTGCAAACAAGGCGCACAGTTCATTTACAACATGTTCTAGAAACATACAAACCCTAAAACACCGCAGGCATCTTTTCAAATAGCTGCCTCTTGTTGGAATGAGGTGAAGTACATAGTATAGTGGTCATTTCTTATGCACTGGATAGGCATGCATATACCAAATCTTTTATATTTTTATTCAGTAGCATCCTACAAAGCTTGTTTGAAGCAGGGAGTTGTGTACCATGTAAATACATGTAATAAGCTTGTAACATATGTAAAGTTTTCCTGGCCTTTATTCTGCAAAAAGCAACTTATTTTTAGTGTGAATTTGCTGGTGAATAAGACTATGAACTGTTTTTATACTATGGCCTAATTTTAAAGGTCTCCAGTTTTCAAAAAATTGTCCTTGTGCTTAAGTGCCAGTGTATCGATGTAATTGGTGTGACTGTAACCAATACAAAGTGAATCTGTTGTATGAAGTTTTTATATTGAAAGGCTTTAAGCTGCCAAGACATTTCCTGTTTTTAAGAAGAGATGTAAGATGCAGCAAGATTCTCTGATTTTTTTTAAACCCAAAGATTCATTTTGTCTTTATCAAATCATAAAAGTGATGATTTTGATTTAAGTGTGACCCAGGATTAGCCCAAACAGCAAGTTACTTTTCAGTGCCTATAAGTAAAATTACCAATTTGTATTTCCTCAATTAAGTTCAGACCAGATATTGCCCAAATCAAAATACTTAGTATACTAAAGGACAAGTTCATAAAATTATGATCTAATCTTGAAATATGAAATTCAAAAATAAAAACTTTTCCTCCCCAGTAGATTGTTTTCATTGAAATGATTTGCGGCTGCCTGATTTTGGGATATGACTGTTGGTCAGCGAGGCTACTGCTTTGCTTGCTGGTTGTTAAATTGGACCTTTCTTCTAACATTAAAGGTGTGGATCAACATACCCAGCTCCTCTACACTTTCTACAGTGCTGACTGTAGGAAAAAAAACCCAAATAACTTGTGCAACCTTACAAATATTGGAGTTTAAAACAGTTTAATAAAAATTTCCCCATTTCACGATTATTCACAGAAAATTAACAGAAATCAAGAGTATGTAGGCAGAGGCAGCTAGATAGGAGTCTGAGGCTCCAAAATAGCAAGGGCTAGAGACTTTTTGTCTCAAAAACAAACCTGTAAGTCCATTACTCAGGAGGCATAAACACCAAAATATAAAAAGCACTCATGAAGTCTGGTAGCCACATACTGAGAAGCTTTCTTGTATTTTGGTGTCAGCATGTAGTGTTGTCTCCATGACAACGACCTTAATTAAAGCTAAGGACAAAGTGCATGTACGAGGATTTTAGATGGTTCTAAATTTTGCAGTTTTCATGCTTTCCCCACATTTTCACGGGCAATGACTAGATCAAATAATAAAGCTCTAACACCTCAGAGACCAAAACTGTCTACTTAGGTAGTCATACCTGTAAGGTATAACAAAGTCTACAGAAAAAACAATTTTTTTTAAAAGCACCTAGACCAGTTTATTTTACTCTCTCCAGCATTCAAAGAAATATGACCTGCAAAAAACTGGATTACAAAGAAAGACCTTTCACATACTGTTGCTAATGAAAATTTACATGCCTACAGGTGAACCAACTTTACAAATACAAACATTAATAACCAACACTGTTGAAAGAGACAGGAAAACACTAAGAGAAAAAGAGTTGTCTTCCATAGGATATCTTGGTGAAACTAGTTGAAGACAAGTCCTTTAATTCATCTATCAGATCCTTGAACATTGAGGACATTTCCTCTCTGGAAATTTCCTTTCTAAGGACTTTGATGATCCCCCTGATTCCTGACTTCTCTACAGTCTTTAATCTTAGTGTTTTATAAAAAAAAAACTTAAAGGGGGGGGGGCGCACAAAAATACCCCAAAGATACTGAAGTTTGGAAAACCCAGCTTGTAGTACCCAAGTTCCAAACAGCCTATAAATCTTAGAATACTCTTAATCTACATTTTACCTAGTAAAGTTTAAGAAGGTGTAAGGAATATGTATGCAAATATCTCTGTCCACATGTTTGGCATACCACAGAAGACAAATGATGCTTTTGAAAGTTAAATAGGAATATCTGAAAAACAACTTAGCACAGCAAGTGCTTAGTAATATCGACAGTCTTTAATATACACGGAAAGCACAATAGACAGGCTAAAACAATTTAACTCTACTGCTACCCAAACCACAGGGGTCCTTTCTAATTTACCATACTTAAAATCTTAAGAGCTGTCAAGTACGGTTATTGTACTTGTAAACAAACAAGGTTATCTTCCGGTAAATGAAACCCCTAAAAGCAAAAAAATCCAAATAGTACAGTTAAAAAACCAAACCAAACCAAACCCTCATGTGAACACACAACTTCATTATCTCCTCTGGAAGGCCTTAAGTTCAATTTGAAAGGAAATGGAGAGGGAAAGGAGAGAACAAAACACCTGTGAATTGCACAGGTATCTGTGAAATACACAGAACTTCTATCTTTAAAACCAATCCAATGCTAATGTGATCTATAATCTTGAAATAAATGCTAAATTCAGTTTTTATCAATTTTTATTGTGTCCTTGAAAATAAAACTATAAAAGCATTTCCAACTTGATTCAAAATAAAAAACAACAACAAAAACGAAGCCAAAATTTGTAATTCTCACCTGGTACCTGCTGCCTTTTTAAGTTTGGGCAGGCTAAAAAGTTCGTTTAACACAAAATAACCTTCATTTTACCTCCCTTCATTTATGTGTAATCCTATTACATTTTAAAAATTGTTATAAAAGGCTTTACACTGTTTCCAGATTTCAGATTTTTGACAGTTTTAAATGTGGCAAAAATACAACAAAAATTCAAATGTGATGGAATCAATGTTGATAAACAGGTTCATATCCTAACAAGGAACCAAGGAATCAAAAACATTTTGTGACACTACAATGTTATTACCTATACACAGAATATCTCCCCTATAAAATGTACAAGTGTATCACTAAAAAGTCTAATCTGGTAAACATTTTTTTCCCATTACAGAATATACTAAGTCACTGGGGTAACAGCTGTCTGCATCTAAATAATCTAATTATAGCACCCAGGGTCTGCTTTAATGCAAAGTTAAATACTTGTTATTCTGGGGATTATCTGTTTGTTTGACTGAGCCAGGAGTGAACAATTTAGTTATTACTCTAGTATATTAATCACTGCACAGTAAATCTGCTTATCACAGGTTTTCTTATTTGTAGGCATGGAATACAAATACTAGATAATTTTAAATGGCAGACAACCATAAAATTACTTATCTTTGATAGTATAGTTTTTTTATAATTACATTAGGATATGAAAAAATCGCCATAATACACCTCAAGATGTGGCCATACTGTAATGACTCACTAGATTGTGCTCAGTAGGTACTTACTAAATAAAGTAATTATCTATTCTTCTCCAATTATCCAGTATGTTTTGCCCACAGTAAGGATTCAATACATATCTATTGAACATACTATCTAGGCAAGAGGTGAGAAAGAGATGGGCCCTCATGGTTGGATGTCAAGTATAAGTGGAATTAACCTGGGAAGGAGTGGTTAGATGTAAACTATACATGGTATACAAGTAAATAAACTCAGATGCCAACAAAACAAACAGTTAAGCAGAAAATACTGGCACTGGAATAAACAAAGGCAAGACCTGCCAACACTGGCGTTAAGTGGAACTGATTTTTAAGATAACCAAGAAAAATTTTATATTGGACCATACCTTTACCATCCAATTTAGTTTGAGACAGACCAAGAGAGGCACTGTTAAGAGACTATGGCTGTCTTCCTTGATATTCAGACATCCTAGTTACCAGTAAGTTATCCTGGATCTGCCACCCATGAGTCAATATATACCTGTTCATATTTAGGGATTAGTTTCCACAAGTACAAAGTTGAATTTCCTTTTATTTGTCCTAAAATGCTTACTTTCAAACTTGAAGGGACTTCAATTATTCCATGTAGTTTTCGATAATTCTTTTATCTTTTCAGACCAGAGTCAAAATATTCGTACAGTATTCATACTGCAGCACCTTCCACCCACCCTTTGGTCGCTTGAACTGCCCTTCTTTGGTTCTTTTTTCCGCTTTCAGATCTTTCTTGAAGTGTAGTAAGCAGAACTGTACTGGGTATTCCAGCTGCAGTTTGGTCTTAAATAAAAGAAGGATGTTTGTCAGTTTGGTTTTCTCTTTATTCTTCTCTGTGGTATACAGGATTTTGTTAGTTGAACTGGATGTAGCAGCTTACTGGGCCAAATTTTCAAGAGAATAGTACAGTAGGTCTTTTCCCTAGGTTGTAACTTAATAGCTCAAACTCTATGTAGCACCTGTCCTTCCTCACTGAAGCATTCATCACCTTTCACTTTTCTTCTTGCTTACTTGGCTTATTTAGAGGGGGAAAAAAAGGCAGAGAGCTTAAGTAAATAAAAAGAAAGGCAAAGTGTCAGCCTTCATTTGAGTCTTGACACAAATGTCCTATTCAATAGAGCCCAGTGTAGACACACAAGAGGTTCTCACTGACTATAAAACTTAGTATGACCCATATTTAGCTTAAAAGTGAAAATCCTCACCGGGTCTCAGTAGGATGCCACTTTGAGTGCAACTGTATATAGTCCTTGTGAAGCTCTGTTGGGTATACTACGTCATAAACGATGTGTAAGCTTCTCAAGTTAAACAGTTTGAGTGTAAAAATAAATTAACAAAACAGACTGAGCACAGTGTTATGGGGGTACCTCTTTACCTACTGTTTTTTAAAAATTTAAGCATCAAATCTGGGCTCAAATCTTGGCTCTGTCATTGGTAGCATTTATTGTGCCTTAGTTTCCGGATATGGGGGAATATCTTCCTAAAAGGGTTTTGTGAAGAGTGAACGAATCAACCAAGTCTCTTTAACCATGTCTGGCACAGCATAAATACTAAATCAGTTATAACTGTTGCTGCAAAAGAGTTAGAATTCAATCCACAAAAATACCTAAAACCCTTCCCCGCAAAGTAGTCATTGTTTAAACTGCTCACAAACATTCAATGAAAAAGCTTCTTAAAATCATGTCATAAACATAAAGCCCAACATGTCTTCTTTAAGAAAGGGAAAGAGCAGAATTGGTACTTTGTAATAATGAAAACATAAATTTATAGTTAGCTTGTCAAAAACTTCATTTTCATATGCCTATCAACACTACTAAATAACCTCTTATATGATTTAACTGAAGAGGCTTAGTGAGCAATCATGAAATGACTTTGACATAAGGAACTCTTAAGTACTCTGTAAAATATGTAGATTTCTGGCAAGTTCTATTATCCCCAGAACAGGTTAGTTGTACCTAATGTCAACACTGATTAAAATATTCCTAAATCTACAAAAAATGGTTATTTCCATTATTTTAGACTCATTCACTACTATAATAATTCCAGTTAATCATTATTTCCTTCATTTTGTTTTTATTATAGCATGTTTGCTTAATTTACAGCAAGCAGAAAATAAGCTGGGTCTTGTTTTGATCCAAACATTGATGTTTTAAAGGTTGTACACAATATTTGTTAAAAAGAACATATAAAAATACCTTTTTAGAAGCTTCTATAAGAAAGAAAATACAAAGTTTAACCCCACAACTTTCCTCTTTGCTAGAACTGCAAACTACTGCTACAGTTTTAAATAGACTTTTTGTTGTTTAAACTATACATCCAGGAAAATCTAAAAAAATTAAAGAAACGTGCATATAAATGATTGCATAGCAGAACAAGAACATTAACTGCAAACAGTAAAGA